ATCACTCACTCACTCACTCACTCACTCACTCACTCACTCACTCACTCACTCTCACTCTCACTCTCACTCTCACTCTCACTCTCACTCTCACTCTCACTCTCTCACTCTTGCTCTCCCTAACAATCTCACTCTGTCTCACTCGTTCTTCTACCCGCTCCCCCTTTCTTCTGCAGCCCCTCCGCTCGGCTGGTCTGTCTGCGGGTTTTAAAGCTGCCCCTCCTCCTCTCTGTGGAGGTCTCATCGCCGTGCCCCACCTGAATTGGGGGAGGGTATTTGCATTTTCATATTCGCTGGGCCGGGCTGCTGGGCCGGGCATTACACGGGTCGCTTTATTCAAGGAGAGGCAAGGGTGCGCGCGCCCACCCAAGGGGAGGAGGGAGGGGGCTCAATCTGGGTGTGAAAGCAGGGGTGCAGGGGCCGCGGCGGGAAGGGAGGGAAAATAGAAAGAATAACGTATTGTTTATCGTTTGTTGTGTTTTCCATTGCCGTACTTTTACCACCCTTGCTCTGCCCTTGCTCCACCTCCACCCTCTTTTGTCGTGCGATCCAACCCAGGAGGCTGGTGTGGGTGCGAGGGGCGCGCTTGCTTGTACTCACTCGGTTCCCCGAGCACCTGAATCCGACAACCTCTGTTGGGGACCGCGCCTCCTAGGCTCCTGGGCCTGGGCTCGTGGAGATGGCCTGGAGATGTGCAACTCCGTTTTGGGTGGGAGGCAGAGGAGGGACTTAAGGAAGTGCGCGTGTGCGTGTGTTTATGAAATCTACTAAATTCCCGGCACGTGTCCCCGGGCTGCCTCCGGCGGCGTCCTGGATGCCGGTTCCTGGGGGTTCCGGAGCCCGTGAGAGGACGTCCTGGAAGTGGCGAAGGGCTTAACCCACCCGGGGGAAACAGTCGTAGGCGAGGCACTACCGCGTGGGTGGGGGGTTGGGGTTGGGGGGGAGTCCACTACTGACGCTATGGCACGGGCACCTCGCTCTATGCTCTTGTTGCGCTGCTGACGCCGTCCTCTTTCTTTTGTGTTGCAGAGGACCCGGAGGTGGTGCGCGCCGCCGAGGAGGCACGCCGGCTGCAGGAGCAGCCCGAGCAGGACGAGGAGGAAGGTAAGTGTGGTTCGACACCATTACTTGTTCTTGTTTTCTGTTCATTCATTGCGACAGGGGCACGCGCCGCGGATACTTCCTTTCCCCTCCGCGAGGGGGGAGAGAGAGAGAGAGGTTGTCGGCGCTCAAAGCCCCGGCCCGGACCGCCCTGGCCCTGTGTGTGGCCATCGAGGTGGCTCAGACGCGCTCGTCTGGGTCTGCCCGCCGGGGCCCTGCCGGGCGCCAAAGGTGTTCTCAGCGGACGCGCTTTGATCGTCTGCGCTGATTCGGCTGGGACCACTGGGCTGGCAGAGATTTTCTCACTCAACAGCTTTTCTCTCTCTCTCGCTCTCTCTCTCTCTCTCCCTCTCTCTCTTTCCCTGCTGCTAGCTGCTGCTGCATGGCTCTCTCGCGCTCGCTCCTAATGGGTATGTTTTATTGGCCATGTTCGTTGGTTCCGTTTTCGGCAGGAGAGAAAGAGACGCGGCGAGGGGAACCGGGAGGGTGAGGCGGATGCCGTGTCCCGTTCCGCAAACGGCCCCGGTCCGGCGGCCTGCTGTCGGTGCAGCAGTCCGCTCGCGCTGTGCTAATGAGGCGCCCATCACAGACTCGCTGCCGCTTGCATGATGTCCTGCGACAAAACTGTTTGCTTTTCACTCTGTTTTCCGTTCCGTTCTCTCTCTCTTGGGCCTGATATGCTGATGTCTGTTTCAGAGTACGGCAATAACGAGGACGACGACGAGGAGGATGAGGAGGGCGGAGGTTCCACCAACTACTCGGAGCAGGAACTTCAATTTCCCGACTTTCTGAAAAGGTGAGCCGCGCGCGTCCCATAAAGCATCCCCCTCCTACCCTCTGCCCCCTCCTCACCCCCTTCATATCTGCATCACCCCTCCCCCCTTTTCTCGCTTTCTTTCTCTCGCTCTGTCTTACTCACTCTTGGCCTCGCACTCATCTTCCATTCGGGAAACCGAGAGGCAGTTGTTACCGCGGCTTGTCTTCGGGTCACCCCGGGTCGTTTTTTGGGGTCGCCCATCTTTTCGTCAAGGTTAGGCGCGCGGTGGAGGCTTGGGCTGGGGGTGGGTGAGCAGGCAAACCCGCGTCAACTCGCCGTGAGAGCGCGTTGACGGAGTTGTCTGCCTGCAATGCAATCTGATTGTGCCGGGCTGGAGGGCGGGGGCGTTCGGGAGGGCCCCGCTGCGTATTGATTTCGCATTGCACACTCCGGTACGCCCCGCCACGCCCCGCCACGCCTAGCTGCTCCCCCTCGAGCCATCACGCAGCTGATTGCACATTTCCTTTCGATTAGCGCTCATAACGCGTTGAGGTGGCGTGGAGGCGGAGGCGGAGGATCAGGAGGATGGCGGGGGGAGGGACTGGAACGCTAGCCACGGAGAATGAGACGTTGCGGACTCCGCTGCCCGTCCGCCGCGGCGCGCTTTCCGTTCCCCGCCATTTCACCCTCACGCCTCGGTGACTCGTGACCGTCCTCCACCTTGCGACTGCCTGGCGTCCTCAACCTCGTGCCCTCCACCACCTTGTGTCACGTAATGTGCTCCACCTCCTGACCTCCATCTTGTGTCCTCCACCTCGAGACCTCCACCCTCCATCTTTGAGACCTCCATCTTTGAGACCTCCATCTTCGAGACCTTCACCTCGAGACCTCCACCTCGTGGCCTCCATCTTCGAGACCACCATCTTCGCGACCACCACCTCGTGACCTCCACCTCGAGACCCCAACGTGGTTTCGTATCCTCCCTCCACCATGGCGGGGCGCGCGCAGAACAGAACACCATTATCTGCGGGACGTTGTTTTGCTGACGCTGACTCGAAGTGGAGAGAGACAAGACAGTCGTCTGCCCACGCAGCAGCAGCAGCAGCAGCAGCGGCGGCGGCAGCAGGAGGGCACCTCCGGGCGGTACCAGTTTTCGCTTTGGCTCTGGAGAAACTCACGTGAAAAAGTCTCGGAGCGAAGTGAGTCGGGCGTGTGTCTGCCGCAGGAGCCTCTGTCGCGTCCTCGGCTCTGGCCCCGCGGGCATCCGGGGCCGCTCCGCCAGCTCCGCTTCGGTGGCCGCGGGGCGCGTCTCAGCCTCCGCCTCTGCCAAGTCAAGGCGAGCAGGGCCTCGGCGAGGGGCGGGGGGCTCACGACACACGAGCGCTTACGTACCCGTGTCGGGAGCAGCGGCCGCCACCAAGCAGCGCGGGGACCGCCAGCCGGTTGGGGACCAACCCTTCCTCCTGATCCCATTTTCTCAGCGCCCCGCCGCCGCCACGCCGCCACGCCCCCGCATTTCCATGCCCATTGTTGTGTAGCCTTGCACCTGCGGCCCCCCGGCCCCCTCTGTGGCTCCGGGCTGCTGCGGGGCCTGCGGGGGCGCGCGCGCGTCCCCCTCCTGAGTAGGTGGCCCCCCCGCGGGGGAGCGACCCGGCGCCGGTGGCCTCGCCCCCGCCCCCACAGTACCCCCCGCGGAGCCCACGGGGACAACAACGACGCCCTGGGGAGCGGGGTCCTTTGTTACCCAGAGGAACCCGCGCGCGGCGGCGGCGGCGTGAAGCACCCCCGCCACGCCCCTGCCCCGCCCGGGGAGGAGGAAGAGGTGCGCCATTTGGGTCGCAGGCTGTCCTTGTGCCCTGCATTAGCCGCAGCAGCGGCCCGGGCCCGGGGCCTATCACCTGGGCGGATCGCAATAAAGCAACGCCACGCCCCGCCACACCCCGCCACGCCACGCCCCACCACGCCTCGCTACGCTCCGCCACGACCGGAGGAACACTGCGCTGCAGGTCAAACGTGGAGGAAAGCAGGAAAGTTTTCTGATGCGATATGCGGGAAAAGGAAAAATGCAGCCCCCTAGACCTAGAAATCGGGTATACTTTGATAGCGAATTTCCCAAGAACACTTTTGGCATGGCACAGGGCACAGGTTTGTTTAGTTTTGAAAGGTGTTTCTTTAATCGTGTTATGTGTACTAGACAAAGCCGATGCAGTCGATACAATATGTGCTTGTTTTGTGCTCTGCGCCCGCTGTCCCTGGTGAGCTTGGCGTCGAGCTGGCGAGGTCCGAGGTATGGTATCTCTCTCCTGTGAGGCTGCTGGCTGCATCCATAGCTCCGCCGGTAGGACTGCTGGCTCTGGCTGCTGCAGACCTGTGAGCTGCTTGCAGAGCAGCCCTCACTCCCGTGGGCTTACTGCTGGGCTGCTGCTGGCCGCATGCCGACACGACAATAGGGTGCCAGATGGAGATCTCTCAGCGTCCCCATACCACCCAGTGTATAGGGGTGTATAGTGTGTGTCGGAGAGAGAGAGAGAGAGAGCGAGAGAGGAGGGATGCAGAGAGTGAGTGAGGAACTTCTCCAGGACGGGGAAGGGGGCGCGCTGAAGGAGCGAGCGGGGCCGGGCCGGGTAGTGCTGCTGGCCGCGCGGCCCGCTGCTGGCTCTTTGTGCGAGGGACAATGGCGACCCTGCAAACGCTGCTAATTGTACGCTGCGAGCGCCACTGCCCCAGCGCCGCCGCTGCTGCAGTCGCTTCATTACAGGGCGGGGCCGGGCGGGCCGGGCGGGCGGCTCCAGCAGCAGCCGCTGAGCTGCTGCACAGCCTCGGGTTTTTGCCCGGGAGGTATTCCCTGCCCCCTCCCCCCCCCTTTCCGACCCTCTCCTACGCGGCCTTAACCTCCCCCCATCCTCCCCCCCCCCCCCACCTCCATCCTTCCCCCAGGGGTAGATCTTCCACTGCCGGTGGTGTGAGTACCGCCAGCTCCATCTCACGCGGGGCTGGAGGGGGGCGAAAGGAGCAGAAGGAGTTTCGCTGAAGAAGACGTCGAACCCGAGGCGTTGAGTGAAACCCCAAGGACAAGAGGGGGGGGGGGCAACGGCGCGTCGGAGTGAGTTGACTTGATTTATTTCTGGTCGGAGAAGTCGCTTGCGTCTTTTGTGAGAAAACGGAGCACAGCCGTCCGGGGCTGCTTCGCCGGCGCGCGGCGGGACTGTTGTGAGGCGCGCGGGCCGTCCTGTCCTGCAGTGTCCTCCTGGTCTCAGCGACCATGCAGTCTCTCTGCGCCAGGACCTCGCCGCCGGCCCCCCAGAGCTGCTCTGTGGAGTCGATGCGCGTTGAACCCCTACAACACAGCCATTGTCCTTGAGAAAGACGAGTCTTGTCAGAGACGCGCGGTCGTGGACCGCCGTCGGATCTGAAAGGCTTGGGCGTTTTGCGGCGACGGCGCGGAGCTGTTTTGGATAAGTTTGAGACTAAAGTTTCCGTCTGGTCAGCAGACCCGGGGACCCGGGTGGGAGGGTAGTAGGGGTGACATGGCATCGCTGCGCAGAGAGGACGGCAGGGGGCATTCGTCCGGTGCGGTCGTCACAGCGAGGCAATCCCAAACAGTCCGAATGATCGGTTTTGCATTGCCCCAGTGAAACTTTGGCAAGTTGGTTAGTTGTTGCCGGCGAGGGGGTGGTGGTGGTGGTG